GCTAGAGAAAAGTCAGTGCCTGCCTCCAAAGCTCCAAAGGACAATCTGACTGTCTTGTTAGGGGCTACTGCAGCTGGTGACTTTAAGTTGAAGCCAATGCTCTTTTCCCATTCTGAAAATCCTAGGGCTCTTAAGAATTATGCTAAATCTACTGGGCATGGGCTCTATAAGTGGGACAACAAAGCCTGGTAACAGCACATCTGTTGATACTATGGTTTACTGAATATTTTATTTTTATTAAATAATTTTTTAATGTTTATTTTTGAGAGAGAGACAGAACATGAGAAGGGGAGGGTCAGAGAGAGAGAGAGAATCTGAAGCAGGCTCCAGGGTTTGAGCTGTCAGCACAGAGCCCAATGCGGGGCTCAAACTCATGGACCGTGAGATCATGACCTGAGCTGAAATCCCATGCTTAACTGACTAAGCCACCCAAGCACCCCAGTTTACTGGATAAACTCTGAGCCCAGCGTTGAGACCTACCACTCAAAGAAAAACATTCCTTTCAAAATATTACTGCTCAGGGACAATGCACCTGGTCATCCAAGAGCTCTGATGGAAGCGTACAATGAGGTGAATGTGGTTTTCATACCTGCTAATACATCGATACTGCAGTCCATGCATCAAGAAGTAATTTCAACTTTCAAGTCTCATTGTTTAAGAAGTACATTTTGTAAGGCTATCGTTGCAAAAGCTAATGATTCCTCTTGATGGATCTGGGCAAAGTCAGTCGAAAACCTTTGGAAAGGAGTCACCATTCTAGATGCCATAAAAACATTCATGATTTAGGGTACCTGGGTGGCTCAGGCGGTTGAGCGTCTGACTTCAGCTCAGGTCATGATCTCATGGTTTGTGGGTTCAAGCCCCATGTCAGGCTCTGTGCTGACAGCTCAGACCCTGGAGCCTGTTTCAGATTCTGTGTCTCCCTCTCACTCTGCGCCTCCCCCATTCATGCTCTGCTTCTCTATGTCTCAATAATAAATAAACATTAAAAAAATTTTTTTAAATTCATGATTCATGGGACTAGGTCAAAATATCCACATCAAAAGGCATCTGGAAGAAGTTAATTCCAAAGTCATGGATGATTTTGAGGTGTTCAAGACTTCACTGCAGATGGGATGGAAGTAACAAGAGAACCAGAATTACAAGTGGAGCCTGAAGAGGGGACTGAATTGCTGCAGTCCCATGACAACACCTGAGCAGGGGAAGAGTTGCTCCTTATGATGAGCAAAGAACCACAATCCTGGTGAAGACTGTTGAAAGAATTTAGAATACTCTATAAACTTAGTTGATCAAGCAGCACAGGGTTTGGGAAGATTGACTCTAATTTGAAAGAAGTTCTACTGTGGATAAAACACAAATAGCTTCACATGCCATAGAGAAGACATTCTTGAAGAGTCCATCCATGTGGCAAACTTCATTGTCGTCTTATTTTAAGAAATTGCTACAGATGCCCCAGCTTTCCGGAACCACCACCCTGATCAGTCAGCAGCCATCAACATCAAGGCATCTCTCTGGAAGCTCAGAAGGTACTTTTCTTTTTTTCTTTTTTTAGCAATAAGTTTTTTAATTAAAGTATGCACACCGTTTTTTCTAAGACATAATGCTATTGTACACTTAATAGGCTACAGTATAGTATAAAACATAACTTTTTATACATACTGTGAAACCAGAAAAGTTCATTTGACTGGCTTTATTACAATATTTGCTTTATTTTTTTGTGGTGCTTTATTATGGTGGTATGGAACTGAACCCACAATATCTTCAAGGTCTGCCTGTACTCAATAATTCCATTCCTTTTTCCTTTCTTTTCCTACCATATACTACTAAGTGGTAGAACCTAAGAGACAACTCTTTTGCCTTAAAATATCAGCTGAGTTTCGAAAATCCCCCCAGTTAATGATTCCTATTAATGAAGAAACTCTCCTGAGAGACTGAAAAATTGGGGCACTTTCACGGATTCATGTGGTAGTGAGATCTGTTTCATCAAATTGCAGAAAAACACGAAGGGGATCTAAGAAAGTGTCTCAAAGCATGAACTGCTTTGGAAATGGGCATATATGGGTGAAATGCCACCGTGGAGGCCTGGACAGAGTCAGGGACCATCCTAAAGGTCCTAGGCTCTGGAAAACAGTGAAATGGTGAAAGACAACAGAGAAGTGAGAAAGTGTGCTTTGTATCCGGTTCTTTTCCTCCTCCCTCTCCCATCATCTCAGTTTGGATGCATTTTTAAAGGCACTGGGGAGATGGGTGAACACTGCTGGTCCTATAAAGAAGGCTACCAAAATGGGCCTCCTTCCAAGAAAAATCCAGGATGAAGTGTTCAAATAAAACAGTACATGCAGGGATGTACTCTAGACATAAAAACAAATGTCTTTCACAATCACATCTGATAGTTGGGAGATGAATGGAGACCAATGCATTAGGGATGGGAGTTAGCCTTTGCCCCACATCAGCAAGTGCTAATACCCACTACTGCCTTGAGGATGACCTAGCCTCATGCTGAAGAGACTGAAAAACAAGAGTAAGAGTCAGTTGACATAAACCCCAAAGAATGGTCCATATTTCCATATTACACATCACTGAAAGCTTGGGAGAGTTACAGTCCTTGGGATCAACAGAGCAGTAGGATCCACAGAAGGGAAGTCTGTTTAGAGGAAAAGGTGCCACTCGTTCTACCTATAATTTTATTGGACAGAACCCAACAATCATGCAGCCAAATGTACTTGGCACTCCCACAGGAATTGCATTTGGGGAATTAAACCAGTTAGAAGATAAAAGGATGTCATTCAGGGGAGGAAACAGCCTACCAAGCGGAAACTGTCTGTATATCCCTAGATAGTCCCCCTTTAGCCCAGAGTGATGCTTTCCTGGATATAGAGGACTCATGCAGTCTCTAGGGTGGAACATAAGTTAATGGACACTGTTTACCATTAAGAAATCAATTGGCATAAAAATGAAAGGCAGAAAAATGACCCAAATTGCTATTAGTAACAATGAACTCAGTATATTTTCTGCTCATATCTTCATGTTACCTTCCCATCTCCCCAGTAATCTAGAACAAGCAATGTTCATTTCTATTCTACTACTGAAGAGCAGTCTATGGCTACAGCTGTACTGTGAGCTGAGTTTTAGGATTATCTGTAGGTTGTGTCCATTTCCTTGGCATCTATAGTTACTGGAGGAGAAAAGTATCATTCATTTCCCTCTCTTTACCTCTATCCAAAGTACAGCTGTTCCATTGGTTCAGTCTATTAATTAAGGTAAACCACATTAATTTAGTCCACTTCTAAGTTGAATGGTGGATAAGTTCTTCAGTACACAAATTTGCCTCAAACGCTACCAGTCAGGGGCGCCTGGGTGGCTCAGATGGTTGAGCATCTGACTTCGGCTCAGGTCATGATCTCACAGTTCGGGCTCTGTGCAGACAGCTCAGACCCTGGAGCCTACTTCAGATACTGTGTCTCCCTCTCTCTCTGCCCCTCCCCTGCTTGCTCTCTGTCTCTCTCTCTCTCAAAAATAAACCACATTTTTAAAAAATGAGGAGAAAAAAAGGCTACCAGTTACTTACCTCCCACCATAAAGACTTACTGACTTTATCACCATTCTCACCTATAGGAAGCCTGCAAATCCCAATCCTCTCAAACACAGCTCCTGGTATAGAGGGCACTAGTAAGTAAAAAGCCTGTAATTACCTTCACTCTTGGGAAAGGAGCCTCATAGGGAAGGGGAGATTTGTTTGTTCTAGCACTTGTATGTCCTGCTGGTGGTAAGCAAATCCCAGACCTCTGTCTCATGGTAAGCTAGGAATGCCATCAGTACCCTGCAGGGAGCAGCCAGTCTAGATAGTGAAATATTCCTGAACCTTGACTCTCCTGCCCCTTCAAATGCTGACTCTTGCTAGTCTTAGTCTTGTTTTCTGTTTTGGGTCTTTCCCTGCAGTCTTTACCTGTTTTGGGTCTTTCCCTTTGGGTCAAATCCTCATGATTTTTACATTTTCCTAGGTCCTACTCCTGACTTCTCCCTATATTCACTATGTTATCTATTGGCATCACCAAACTGGTAGAGTATTAAAAGTGGCTTAAACTCACTGACCGTACCTTTTCTTTCTCTAGTCATTCCAAAATGTTGGCCAGCCAATACAGCAAAAATTACTTCGTTATTTCCCTCCCTGACCATGAGTCTCCCATTTTCTCCACAAAATTCTGCCAAAAGCTTCTTCTTACCATTCTTCTAGACATGTGTCCCTGTCCTTGGGATGGCCCTTTTGCTTTTGGTGATCTGCCCAAACTTTCACCATGTAAACTATGCCTTTCTCCCATCTGACTTTCCTCAGTGCTGCTCTGTCAATGCAGTTTCATGCCGTCACATTCATGCCTTTGACATTTATACACATACACATAAAAAACTTCTTCTTTTCAAAGCAGGTATACAGCACTGTCGCAGAGATGAGCTGGAAGACTACTTTCTAAGAAAAACTAGGAACAGAAAAGATGGTCAGAAGCACCTAACTGATCTCTTGCCCTCCAAATGAACTGCGGTTAACCTATCATAGGGAACAAGAAAGAAAAAGGATGTTTTTTTCTTAATGAAAAAATCTTCCAAGAAGAGTGTTTATACAACTTCCCTAAGTAGTACATCTATTACTACAACATCCAGTTTTCTTCAAAGTTCACTGTATTTCATTAAAGACAGGAGCCATTGGGAAGGATCTGAGTCACAGTTTATACACCCTGTTCTAGGTCTCATTTTACCAAATGGTTTGCAGAAGATGGGTGTTACCTATTTTTGTCTTTTATTAAAATCCTCCAAAATCTCAGTCTCCAGATTTAAAAAAAAAAATGGATCCAATAATAAAAATGAAACAGTGTGATGATTTAAACAAGCATCAGTGTGATTAAGCAAAATATTTATGGGCATCATGCTTAAGCTTGAATGTATGCTAGCAATGACGCATGATTTATAACGAGTATTATTAAACTGTTACTACTTGTGGTACTTACCTTTAATCTGATGAAAGTGTTTAACAAGATCTTTTATATCCAGAGAAGTATTCCCTGAAGGAAAAAAATGCAAGAAATTAGATACATCAAACTCCCAATTTAAAATGCATTCCTTTTCAAAGAAACAAATAGATAATCCCAAGGAAAAACCAACCTTCTCTAAACACAATGAGTTCTTTAAAATAAACCGCTGCAAACTGGGTGATGTTTGGCGGGTTAGTTTTGAGAATGGCTCTGCTAACTCCCTCCAGCAGAGTCTTGAGGCCATAAGGTACGACAAGTCTGGGCTTTGAAGAAATCATTTGTGCAGGATGTCTGTAATCTCAACTATAATAAAGAAAAACAAGGTCTTACAAAGAATATAGGATAGTTTCTGACAACAAATCAGTCTCCTATAGAAATTATTAGCTTCAGTTCTAATCTCCAGGCATTTATTCTAGCAAAGTGAGCTAATTCTTAATGGTAGCATGTGCACCTGCATACACACAGTCAATAGCTTATTATGTGCAGATGAGCAATATAGTAAGTACTATTAAACCCCTGGGGAAAGCCCTGGCAAGAACTCCAGGATGACAGTAAAAACAAAGAACCAACCAAACAAGATTTGTTTCTGTAAAACTTAGTAAATATTTTGTGCAGTAGAATTTCAAGAAAGATAAATTAAGCTCATGTATCTGTGTGTAAACAACATCCTTCGAAGCTACATGGGCACTGGCTTTTTCTTTTTTGTACCTTCATCAAACAGAATTGTAAAATAGAGTTTCTATAAGAAAACATCTTTTCCCTCATTTTTCTAAATATATCCCTGGACACGTTGATCATCCTTCAGTATACAATTTTTACCCTTGTAGTATCACACCACCCACTACCATATGCACCACTCTCTTTTCTCCTATCCTCCCTTAACCTCTGCCCTAGATTTCCCCTCTCCCCCTTCTCCCTCCTTTCTGGATTTTAAGTGGTACCAAGGGTATTGCATAGTCTAACCTGTAATTCTCAAGAGCTTCTGAGATTGCCATTCTAAGCTGTGTGTGTGTGTGTGTGTGTGTGTGTGTGTGTGTGTGTGTGTGTGTGTGTACGCGCGCCTGTGTGCATGCGCACATGCGCTGTTTCACAGAAGGTTTCAGAAGGTTTATAAGTATGTGTAAAGAACAAAAGTAACTATTTAAGGAAAGGAGTTCGGTGGTTAAGGGAAAAATTATGGTAGGAAAGATACGATGAAGCCATAGGTAAGGTTAGGATGTCCATACAAGCTGAGACTCCTACACCTTGATGGCATGCAGTGTCATATCAGCTCCTGAGCTACCAGGCAGCCATCACAAAATAGGAAACAGTTGGTTAAATGATTCATGTTTCCAAGATTAAAAAAAAAAAAAAAAAGTTGCCTGGGAGACTCACAGGTATTCCAAACAATGAGCCCCAGGAGAAATTTCTCCCACAGGTCCTCATAAAGGGAAGAATAGTGTGATATGATGAATCATGTCAATATCCCTACAGTTGAGAGTAATGAGTTTCATAGAACTGAGTTGCACAGGTTTTACAGAAGGAGCCAACCTCTAATAAAAAGTAACGTGTTATAGCAAATTTTGAATATTTAAAAGCACATTTCGTCTTCCCAAAGGTCAGGGGGAAAAACTGAATATTGGTCAAAGCAAATCTTTCTAAACTAAGTGTATTGAATCCTTTAATGAAAGCCTACTCTCAGAGTGTAAGTCAACTTGACCTTTACTGAATTAAGCCATGTGTAAAAAAACCACTAGTGCACAAAACAAAAAATAAAAATGCCAGTGCAGCTTTGGCAGGGTATATGCTAAACGTTAAGGGACGTAGGCAGTAACTGTACGCATGATCCACAGATATACTTACGGTATTTTTGTGTGCGTGTGTACATAATTTTTTTCTTAAGTACACATTTTGCCCCCCAGTGTGAGTAGGTTAAGTCACGTTTGGAAAAGTGGCTTACCAGTGTCCATGACGGAGCTACCCAAACACCCTCTCCGTAGGCGGTTAGCAGTTGAAGCTACCAACCGTGGACCTAACGGCCGTACAGGGATCCTACAGGTTCTCAGCCCAGGCGGTATGCCGCGCCCCCAGCCACACCACACTCTGGGAAGGTGCGAGGCCTTTCAGGGTCCCCGGACCTGGGACGCTGGGCGTCCTACAACACAGCCCCCCATGCGAACTGTCCTGAGGAAGCTGAGAAATACTGCGACACCAAAGCAGGACCAGTTACACACACACACACACACACACACACACACACACACGAGTGCTTAAAAAACGACCGCTTCTCAGATCTCTCCTTTAAAGAATATCTGTCCAAAACCACTTTTACGGCCCCGCCCCGTGCCGAACTGCGAGCTTCCATTTTACCCACTCCCCCAAGGCTAACGCCTGAGCAGGACAACGGTGCTATAGGCTGAGGACGCGCGAGTGTGGACTTCGGAGCCACGGGAACCGTCAACAACGCACACCACTCTCTCAAGACCTCCGCTGGGGTCTGTTTGGTGGGAAGGGCAGGGAAATGGAGAGCGGGCGTCCCAGTTCCGCGCCCAGTTCAGGAGGCGCAGGTGGCAGAGCCGCCGCCAGGACTCCGGAGCTCTGCCACACCCACCGGTGTGAGCCTGCCCTTCCCCAGGGTACTCCCACACTCCTAGGGCCCGCCGCATGAGGCGCCCCGAGGGCGTAACTGCCTCTGGGGCCGCTGGGCCGAGGGCCTTTTTCCCCACACTCGCCCCACCTTTTCCTTCCCGGCTACGCTCTAAAGAGCTTCCTCGTTGCCCCCTTGCCGGCGGCTCCTGAAGGACCCTGGGCTCGGGGCGGGGCATTTATAGCCCTGCGGACGTCAGGGCACGTCAGGGCGTGCGTCACAAAGTCCCTCCCCCCGCCCCCGCTGAGGCTCCACGAGAGGAGGCGGAGCCTCGGCGTCCCCAGCCAATGGGGAGCCGAAAGGGACAAAGGTTCCGACTCCGCGGGCCAGGCGGGCAGGTGGGCTTCGCCTTTTCTAGCCTTTTGTAGAATACAAACGGGGCGTAGGGAAACTGGCGTTTCCAAACGTCCAGAAGTCGGTCAAGGCGACGGCCTTTCCACTTCTCATCGCTCATTATAAAATAAGAGCTGGTGTAGAAGGAAACAGATTTATGTCATTTCTTGCAGTCGCCGCCTCGCCTCTTTGCACTATCTCTTCTCCCACAGGGTTACTCTTTTCAGCCACCTTTCCGAAGAATAGCCTGTCACGGTATACATTAACACTGGTGTTAAAGAGAACCAATGATTTTACGCAACACAGTACTTTCCCTTTTGAGAAGATCGCCTGTGGGAAGAGAATGTGACAATAATGTTTCCACTTTCTGTAATCTGGCCATACCTCAGGCACAACCATTCCTCCCCAAACCCAACTATCATCAACCGGTTGCAATTCAGACCAAAGTAAAGGCACATCGACTCATTTCAAATACCTGGCTCCCTGCTCTTTCACCTATCTAGGCTCATATATTTGAGCTGGGCATTAACTACCACCATAATCATGATGACCAAACTTCAAACAGGCTTCAATGTAATTCATTTTCAAATATTTAAACAAAAACCATTGTAAGTTAACCATCAAACATCTTCAAGGCATAGATGCGATTAAAAAAAACTTTTAAAAAAATCAGAAAAGTTAAGGCTTCCAGAGCTCTTAAGAGGCAATACTGAGAGGGCCCCAGTCTCCATCTAAGCTGCACAGAGCACTTTCTATAGATATTAAATCTTTCCAATAAGTTACTCAGTGCCCATCATATGACTCCCTCTTCTGAAGATTGCATTTTAAAAAGAGACATGCTAATTTTAGACTGTGATGATAGGTCTGCAGATGGTACTTGTCCTTTGCCACAGCCCCAGCCCCACTTTGGTGGATAAAAGTGAAATGAAGCTGTCATGATTTGTGGTGCTTTAGTTCATAATATATTTAGCCAAAGACAGAATGAAACTGACCTAAAAACCCCACGTACAAACCCCATTTATGGCATCTTTGGGAATTAGAGACATTTATGCTTCTGTAGCCTAACCTTGGCAGGCCACCTTGGACACACAGGTCTTAGGTACTGGGCAGAATACCTGCAATTCATGTCCAGCCTTTACTCTTCACATTTCATCTAGGACTCTTTTGTCCAAGTCCCTCTGAAAGGCAAATTGTTACAGTGAAAACATTTAACCAAAAACTTTTAAACTGCTATTTGCTGCTTTGATTTCTAGAACTCTTAATGATTTCATGTGGTTTTACATTCTTGTCCTCCCTTTAAGTTGCTAGGGATCTAAGTACAAAAGGTTAATCTACTTTGTTTTGCATTGCTCTTTGTTCCCTGTACTTACTTCATGGAAGTTCAAAGTTTTTGGCATGACCTCTGTATAATTCAAATTTTATTTTGTTCCCACTTGACTCTCGAGAGACTGGCCTGAACACACATGCTTTTTGTCACCTCGGTGCCTTTGTTCATCAGGTCCAAGGCCTGAGATGATCTTCTAGCCATCATTTTCACCTGACTACATCCTTCTTTAAAACTCAGGGATCTCCTGCTTCAGAAAGCCAGTGGATTAGAAACATTTCATCAGTGGCCCAATGATAATACACTCTAGGAGCATAACCTTGCTATATAATTGTGTTTGGATTCTCTCTCAGATTTACTAAATACTTACCAAAAGATGATGACCTAGGGTAGTGTTGTTCCAGTGTAGACCACTTGCACTGGAGTCATTTTTAGGAGCTTGTTAAAAATGCCTTGCTAAATCCTACCTCACAGCTACTGAGTTAGACTTTCAAAGGAGTGCTAATTTGTACAACTAAAATTTGCAAGCCACTGGCCTGTGGCTGGACAAAGTGTAACCCACAGCTCACCCAGGTTACAATCCCCAGTCTCCTTCCTAGTTTTCACAAGACAGCCAATCACAATGTGCACTGGGCAATCTACACATTACTGAAGAAGGAGAACATCTTTTATGGGCCAATTTTCCCATCTCCTGCTCCTGAACCCTTGCTGTCCTTTTATCTTTCCAGGCTTCCAAGTCTCCTCCCTCTACTATGTATCTTTTTGGGATGATAGGAGCTTAACCATTTTTTTCTACAAAATTTACCAACAGGATTCAAAAATATATAAGAAACACCAAACAGTGCATCGTGACTGTCAATGTGTATCTTCATCAATTCAGATTCATTTGTATAGACTTGTCACTACTATTTGCTTAAGGAAGGAATCAACGAAGAAAGTTACACAGCAAAGGAATACACACACGTGTGTGTCTATTTTAAAAATCAAATATGCACTGTCCTTTTAGTTGGCAGAAGCATAAAAGTGCAAACTCTATAAATCATTGACTTGTACAATATTCAACAATAAATTCCTAATTATCTGTGACATCTGACATACTTCACTGGCTCAAAAACTTAGCTATCATGTGCTAAAATCAAAGACACCTAACCTAACCAAAAATTCTTAAATATTTTAACGACAAAGGTACATAGATCACATTATTAGACCATGTCTCCCAACTGTGACAAATTATGTGTTCAGGGTACATAAGTATACATTCAAGATTTCTCTCATCATAGGCAAAATCTAATACAAAAATACATTTGACACTCATAAATTAGAATATCCATTTAAGAGCCTCCAAAATAGGAATGAAAAAGGAGTGATGCCAGCATAAAAAAGCAGACATAGAACAGCAAACTGTTCTTGTTATAGCATCATTTTCTTCATCTGCAACAGGTAAAGAGCAACTCATACCAAGCTAAGTTTCTAGGTAGATCACAGTTCACAGGCTGGTCAAGTCATGGCACACAGGCCAGAAAATGTGATGAATTACTCAACTCAGAAATGTACTCAGGTTTCAAGCTAATGGTACTATCTACTGCACTGTGGTTTTTGTTCGAGACCTTAGAATCATTTCCTACCCCATCTCCATACTCTACCACCCTGTTAACTCACACAAACCACAGGGGCTATCCTGCACCAGATGTAGGCAGAGTTCCAAACAGACCGAACTCTATTAAAATGGTCTGTGAACTGAACACAAACTTACTTGAATCCTGAAATCTTTCTGGAGAAATACAAACAAATGTTTAAAGCTGTGAGTGCAGGGAATAATTTCTGTTTAATTCTAAAGCACAGGGCTTCATGTAATCTTTGAATCCTGCATAACAGTTCAAACAATATTTGAACTGAAAATTCAAGTGAGTATGACCTGAAGCAAGAACGTCAGGATTCAGAATCCTCCAGAACCCTAACTGGGAAGTCTGGCTCCTATGCTATACACCATGACTAGGACCATGCCTCATAAATTCATAACATTCTTCCCTTAAGCCTCAAGGGAATTAGGCTTCCAGTATTTTTAAACACCAAATTTTCTCTTCAGAGAGCATCTACTTGGCTTCCAGATCTACTCATTCACTGAATGTAAAGATAGCAATCTTTTCTCTCCAGCTAGGGTCAGAAATCCATGCAGGATTCACACCAGAAAGAGTCAACGTGAACAAAACACTTTGGAAGTGAGGAATCATGAATATAATTTAGTTAGAGTCAGTGAGGAATAATTATTTCTTTCAAAGAAATTATCATTCCTCAATCAGATTAAGTAGGTTAAAACTGTCTCTATCCTAGCAGTTACTATGTTTAAAAGAAACAGTAAAGTATTAATATCACATGAGCTCGTGCTTCAGCTACAAGGATATGTAAATAAATGACACCCCAAGATGATACTCTCTTTAGTGCAGTATAAATTTTTAAAAATCTAACCTTAAACCTGAGCCAAGTTAGGCACATAATTATGACAGAAATTCTCAAGTGATTGAGGTGTTTAGACTTCAAAAACCAAAGGTGTGCAGTACTGGGCTAAGAGGTGAATTAAATGACAATAAAAATTAGCAATGGAGGATTAAAAATTAACTTTAAACTCCTTTTAGAGAATAACCTGAGCTAAGGAGAAAATGATGAAATCTCGGCAATAGATAGCTTAGAAAATCCTTCACCAGCAAATATTCTGAGGAGAAAAAAAAAAAAACCAAAAACCAAAAACCTATGTTCATTCAAGAATAACCTTGTCAAGTAATTTGTTAAAAGACCTCCAAAAGTCAGTAATGAGACCATTTATCACAAAGAAAAGGAAACTCCTAAAATATAGGTGTTATCTATCTAGCCTACAGATGAGGCTTTCTAATAAATTAGTTTTTGATTGTACAACTATCTACTTGCTTCTACACATGGTTGGCTTTCAAAGGAAAAAGGTGTTCATTACTTTGAAGCATTCTGTAGACGATCTGGAGAGAAGTATTTTTGATGACACAACTCCAGCTGAAAAGCATTTGTGTTTTAATAAGGGAAACATAAAATTCTGGGTTATTAACACATTTTGTTTTACAAGAATATTCTGTGGTCAGGAGATCTGCGTTCTATTCACTGCTCCACTGATAACAGGAATAATTGATTGGGATAAGTCAGTTGGCCTTCTTGTGCCTGAGTTTCATTGTCTAGACAACAGGAATAAGAATACCTGTGCTGTTAAAGGAAAAAGTAAACGCTAGAAAGCACTTTTATTTTTTTCAAAACACAATATAAATGCTATGTCATAATACTGTTGATAATTTTACAGGTGCCTCCTAGTGTTATGCAGTCGGATGTGTGCTTAAGGTAGGCGTTCCTAGAAGATCACAGGTTGAATATTTAGTTGGCTTTTATTTTAAAAATAATAAATCACAAAACTAAAATGTTTGAACAAGGTCACTTAACCCTCTCCCCAGGTGGTTAGTTATAATTACTAGTATCCTCATTATTATTACTTTTTAGC